ATTACTATATGGTATTCTGTATACTGTGTATATATATATGAATTTGACTTGCATGTTATTTTATTGTATTGAATTTGGTAAAAATCGATAAGCTAATAGAAGAAAAACCAATAGAATATTTGATTAATTATAGGGGAATAGGTGATGAAACAAAGTATTGCACATGATAGATATGGGCGTACCCAGTGCAGAGAGCTCCCGCTCTGTGCGGGGTCTGGGGAAGGGTGTTAGTAGCAAGCCTTACCCTCGCCTGTGCAATGCGAGGAGACTGCGACTCAAACCTAGGACCTTCCGGCCACAAGCGGTAAGACTATACCGCTTACACCAGGCCCGCCCTTCAACACATGATAGAGATGACGTGGAATTTTTTTGTTATTAATAAGGGATGACATGGACTTAGTGGGGAATAATGTGGACACCTTGCATGAAGAGATAGAACATCTAGTGGGTCACTTAGTGGAAAATGATGTGGACACCTTGCATGAAGAGAAAAATCATCTATTGGGGTATAGCTTTATAAGAGTATATAGATAGATGCATAAGTTGTTTGGACATGGATAGCCTTTGATCCTATGTGATATGCTTCCTAATCTAGTGGGTGTTTCAGTTGTGTGAAATGCGAAAGAAAGTTACAGTACATTCAATGTGGTGCCTCTCATGTGATGTTAACTTAGATGACAAAATTTCAGGTACACAATGGTGCCAGCTTCACTCTACCTTGGTTTTACTGCATCGATCATTTGGGTTGGGCAGGTAATGCTATTACTTGGATTTTCTAATACGTATTATTCCCTGTTTCTTTCCACCTCAGGCACCTATACATTCATTGCAGGGTACATACCTTACATTAGCTGCCCTCAGTCATGCAAGAGAAAATAATTTGCCCGAGGGTCCAACTTTAGGGAGCTTCAATGGGGAGTTTTGGGGAATGTTTGCTAGCACACAGGTACAGTTTTCCAAGAGCTCCTCTTAATCAAAACATGCTCGGAGATATTCTAGTATTAATTCTTCATCCCTAAACTGAACTGTATTTCTCTCTGGATATGTCTCCTCTGCAGTACAATAGTTTCTAACTTATACATACATGTGAACTATGTAGGTGATTGGAAATCTGATCTCGCTTGCTTTGCTGAGAAATGGAAAGGTTAGCATCACATTGTAATATTTCAAACTGTAGATTCTTTTTACATTTGGCATTATGTTCTTGATAATTACAATCAGTAGCTAGAGCTAAATTAAGGTTCATGACTTACCCTATAGTAGCATGATCTTCACTTGATATTTTTTTATAATGTTGTGTTATTACTTGTGAGATGCCATCTTATTTGACCCTCTGTTTCTTATATCGCTTCAGGATGGTGGAAGTGTCACAGGGAAAAATCTTCTGTTTGCTGTGTTTCTTGGTTTTATGATTGTGGGCATTGTATTAATGTGTTTACTTTCGAAAAGAGATGAGAAAAGAAATAATACTCCAACACATTCCTCATTTGGAGCTATGTTAAAGTACATCATCGCCCCACTTAAGGACCAAAGAATGCTTCTTACCATTCCTCTTATAGCATATTCAGGTTTACAACAGGCATTTGTATGGTATGTAGTCTATATCAATTTCAACATCCATGGTTGTTCACTTCTTAGTAAGCATTTTTCTAAGACAGTTCTGTGGATTTTTCTGAAGGGCGGTATTCACAAAGAGTATTGTAACACCTGTTCTTGGCATCAGCGGCGTTGGTGGAGCCATGGCAATTTATGGTGCAGCAGATGTAGTGGTAGGTAAAATGAAAATGAGCTACTTGTTGAATGACTAACCATCTTGTACCTAGACAGCGTTTATCAGATACTCCATTCGGCCTACCATTTTCAATCTACATTCTTTACTCATTTTGCCCTGTTGCTTCCATTGCTTTAGGCAATAACCTCCGAAGCGCACTAGTCACACTAGCAACCAATGCATATCTTGTTTTCCAGTTATCTGCAACATAGAACTATACCATTCGAAACTACTGAAAGAAAAACTGTACTACGTAGAACCATACCTGATTCTTGGAACATGGCTGGCATTGCAGTGCTCATTGATTGCTGGACGATTAACCTCAGGACTTCGCTCAGCAGCATTTATAGTTTCTGTTGGGGCTATTCTTCAGGCCGTAGTCCTATTCTGGTTGCTTCTTTTTTACAGGTTTGATTTCTGTAAAAGCCATTATGCAATTGCGCCTATAACTGCTACTGTGATTGCTTATAACTGCTACTGTGATTGCTTACTCACCTTTATCTTGCCCACAGTCCAATGGATGGACTGCTTGGCGCAGCGATACCACTATTCATAGGTGCCTTGTGGGGTGTTGGTGATGGTGTCTTGAATACACAGTTAAGTGCATTACTTGGGCTGCTGTTCGAAGATGTCAAGGTAATCTTGTTTTAGTGTTTTTGGTTTGGTGTTTCATGTACACATATGGACTTTCATCTCATCTGCTGGCATATGAGTTCATTCTTTTGATATTTCAAGGGTATTATAGATTTTTTTTTGTTTGCTGCCGTAGCTACTTGCCCTCAACAAATACTCGAATTTGACACCATGATCAATGCAGGAGGCTGCCTTTGCACAGCTGAAGGTGTGGCAGTCGGGCGCCATCGCAGTCATCTTTTTCCTGAGCCCAAGCATCGCGCTGCAAGCCATGCTTATCCTGATGGCCGCGGCCCTCGTCATCTCCTTTGGCTCATTCCTGTTCCTTACCATTGTCGTTGAGAAGTCATCACCCGTCATCGCCTGAAGTGAAACCATTTCCCGATGTCCAGACCGGCGCCAGTGTGACTGTCAGTATTACCAGTGGCCTGAGCAGCGCCGTTGTTGTATGATTGTTTCCACTATTCACCGGAAATGCAGCATCCATCGAGTGCGATTTGTGGCGCAGTGGCACCATATTACGCCATTGGTTTCAGGCAGCCATTATCTGAACCGAAGCTGTAGCAGCAGTCCGTGAAATGGGGAAAGAAACCGTCGATTTGGGCACACTTCTTGCTTGTCAGTACTGGTCCTTTCTCCTTTTGCATGCCTGCAGCAATGTTGTTGTTAAAAAAAAGATGATGTAAGAAATGTTCTTTCATTTGGACCACAGGATTCGTTGTAAACATCACATCCAATGAGAGTTAATGGTCTTCTGTTGTTTTCTGCTGGACATTGATCATGAAATTCTCATTCTCATGTTTCAAAAGAACTCGATGTATTCTCATGTTTCAAAAGAGCTCGATGTGGAAGATCAGAGGCGCTGGCAGCAGTGGCCTACATATAACATTGTTCACTGAAGGATGTGATTAGGGTACTAGTAGTTAACCACAAACGTTTTATACAAATTCTTTAATTCCTTACATGTATGTATTTAAAAAAAGCTGTACTGAAGCAAGCATGGTTTGACATGTATTGCGCGGAATTTTGTACAAGTTTTATGTTGGCATTAAGTCATTATCTATCATATCAGAAAACTCTGACCTGGAAAGAAATGTCTCTACGCAGGTCGTGTCAAACGAACCTCTCAAACTACTGAAGCATACTTGTGAGCTGAAATTTCCTTGAACATCGATCGAACTATTACTCAAGCATGGTTTCGCTTGTGTTTCGTTCCTTGACAGTAGAAGTAGAGACATTTCTAAAAGAACTCTACCCGAAAGAGTTTTAAAAAGGACAGTATCATCAGATGTACTAACAAATGTAGACAGTCTCATCAGACGGTTTTGAATTACAAAAGTAAATTTATTTAGATGGGCTAACACAAAACTTAAACTGAATTGTTGGGCTCCTTCCTCGAGGAGAAGAACCCTCCAAAAATAGGCGTATGCTGCTTATTGCAGCGGGCACACGGTATTCTTTAGTAAAAGGCGAAAGAATAGTTCGCTCCGCACCCACTGCGCAGCTGCGTGCTCTTCCAACATCGCTCCTGGCTCTCGTAAATAGCAGAGCTTCCTGTTTCTGTTAGCTTCAACAAGCGGTTTGGGACTAAGGGCAAAGCGTCGGCCGTGCCGTGCCCACTCCTCGCGCTGTCTACGCTAACGGGCCAATGGCCGAACTGCAAATCAAGGCGGCCATGGATTTCCATTTCCCGCAGGCCGGACTGCACTGGTGATGCCCACTGGCCCAGCGGACTGCGCGACCTAGGCAGCCGCTTGCTATCCGGCCCAAGTGGGCGCTGGAGCTGCCGGGCTCGCCCACTGCTCCCCATTCTCGCTCGCATGCATTTATCATTTCCTGTTCCGGCAAAACGAAAAGGTTCAACCAATTGGGGAAAGTTTTATTCTGCATATACACACAGATTCAAGATCCCAAATATATAGACCTTTTACGAGTCATGAACTTCTTGCAGCATTTTGCCAAGACCACAGTGCAGAATTTCAAATGAGTAATTCCTCTCCACACTCACAGATTGGTTGTCAATTTTTGGTCAGATATCAGTTATTTGCATGTTCTGGTGATTGAAAGGAAAAGAAACCGTGTGCAATCATTAAAGCATGACCCACCAAATCAATTGAGACCTTCATAGAGCTCCAGCTCAGTAGAAACAGGTTTTATTTTACCATACGGAAAAGTAAATTATATTGAATGATGGCAAAACAAAGACTTCACACTTTATCTATCTACGGTTTGCAACCAACCAAAACAATGGGACAGTGTAAAACCCATCACATCCCAATCTCGTATTCTCCTTTTCCACTGCAAACATGTGAAACTTGTCCAAAACTCTTGAAAGTGTTAAAAGTTGCAAGTGCAAAGCCTGCTAGATACCCTACTGAAACTCATGACACTTGCTCCAAACAGGATATCGTGATTTAACAATGTTCACAAAGCATGAATAGATTAGAGCTGCTGTCAGGCTACAAAAGCGCACAAAGGTGCACCAGATTAAATCTGCCATTTGTTTTTCTCTTTCCTCAAGGTACTACCAAATCAAAGCCGCACTCTTCGCCTCAACTGCTTAAACACTCTTTTCCATGGAGACCTTAAAACTGATTCAAGGAGTAGGTTGTCCATCATGCAGCTTTGTCTTCCTCTTTCGGCCAAGAATGGAAGCCTTCTGCAGCCTCACTCCACCGGCTCGCCATTTCTTGAAAGCAGCCATCGATTCTCTAGCAGATTCAAACACTGGTCCAAATAAAAAAAGGGTTAGCTGTTGTAGACAAATGCCTGATGATGTACAGAGGACATATTTGCATACCTCGACTTTCTTCTTTTGTAAAGCGTGGAACGAATTTGGGCATTGTCATCATGGAAGAACTGTGAGACTTGCTTAGAACCTCTTTGTACCTACTGGTGAATGCATAGCGCAAGAAAAGGCCAATGCTCTGTCACTCACCCTGTAAATGTGACAACACAGGAAAGTAAGCAAAATAAAATCATCAGACCTTTTTTTTGTTATGGGATAGAAGTCTGACTAACAAATTTCCTGGACTATACGTGGCACTGAGTCCAATGGAAGTGATTCATCGAATGAATAAATAAACTAATTTATTTCAAGTGATACAATCATATAACCAAATACCTAACTATCCAGAAGACCAGAAGTTCACACTAGTATTAAGTTTGAGTCCTTTTCAACAATCCATAACAGTTTTAACATCCATAAAAATTGATGGCAAAACACCAGGAACACAAAGGTTCATGAATGCCAGATTATGATAACATAATTAAAATAGCTACACTGGGTCATGGGAAAGGGGAACACTTAAAATAGCTAGAAGTTTTGGAATGCCATAATTAGTTATGTGGCAACATGAGACAAGTCATTTCAAAGTAACCGCAAGTTACTAGATAAACTTGTGCCATCAAGGCATGTTTATCAGATTATTATGATCAAATCTGCACCATGGTGGTTCAGTGGGAATGTGGGATCAATCATGGAATCAGTACTCAATTAATTTCCAACATATAGAAATAGTACTGACAGGAAACAGTGACTGGTGGTAATGATGATAGATAGCAGTGAGCTATTCTCCATCATATAGAATCGACCTGACTATCTCTGAAAGGAAATGCAGCAAATTGCTAGACAATTGAAATACAGAAATAGATATTCCACTATGAATTAATTGCTTTCCAGGATGAAAGGACCATGCTTTTGAAAAAAAAATACAAGTGAAAACATGTTCTTTTGTGGGGAATAGATTGATCAAATCAAACCAAACCAAATCAAATGAAATCAGTGAAACAGTCCAAAATAATAGGGAAAATAACAAAATGCTAGTATTGTCACCCAGATTGATCCTAAGCACAAAACTACCCTAACCTGTTTATATCAATGTTCATCACATAACAGTTTGATAGGCATAGAGAAACTGAATGTTACTCAGACACCCGTGCCTAATAATTGCACCTGTGTGGGGTTCCGAGTGGTATCTGGCATGTCCAAAAAACTTACTGAATTGGAGACACATACCCAAACTGGGCAGTGACACCCACACCTGTTCCTATGCAGCCCTGACCACAATATATTATATTACCCGCATATATTTCTATAATATAAAATGCTGTCTAGTCATAACAAGAATTAACTAAAGGCTATAGAAAAGGAATGCCTCAATAGGGATGACCTATCCCTCATTGGAGGACACAAAAGGAAGCTTGCTACCAGACTTGATTAACAGTCAGATGATAGTGAGCCTAAACTACCAAACTGCCAACTTTTACAGTAGCTTAACCTGTTTATATCAATGCTTATCACCTAACAGTTGGCATAGAGACTGAATGTTTTGACTAGACAAGTCAAATGTGTAGCAAATAATCATTTGTATTTCAAACCTTAGAAGCATTATGCATTAGGGCATGTTTGGCTTGTACCTTAAGTTAGCCCACCAATTGTTGGTTAACCTTCCATAAAGTATACCATAGTCCATATGAACACATTGTCCTACCCAAAAAGCAAACAGGCAATCAAAACCTTACATCAGAATGGCATGACATACAGTTGCAATAAGCACAGGATGGTGGCAACCTTGTCAGCCACAGTGGAATCGATGCAGACACATATTGGTCAACAAAGAGATAAGTAGATTGGTGCATTTCATAAGATAAGGGATTAAAATTTCTTTTTGGTTAGACATCCCAATCTATAAAGGCTGTCCCAGTGGGCTAGGTTTGCACTTTGCAGCACCACAGAAATAAACTCCTCAAAGTTTCAGTTAGGTCAAAGCCTCCGGATTCTTGTCATGTCTGGGTACTAGTACCACCAGTGCCAGAAGGGCAATCCATCGCCCTGCACCTTTCACTAATTGATTTGATCCAAGCCTCAAAGCCACTTTGTTTGCTGATCCCCTCTCCAATTCCCTCCATGCCATATCAGTTTTATCTTTTCCTTAATAAAGGGGATTTCAGGGGCATTTGGGGTTGGGAAAGAAAAAAACAGAAGCAGCACACTTGAGAGCTACTTAAGCCATTGAGCTATTCTGAACAATCAGCATGGCATGACCACTGCTACTTGAACTTAGTCAATTCAATATGTTTTCACGAATTCCCAATTCATAAATGAACCCTGTCTAGCCAATGACCACAGCCCAAAAGAACATTAAGAAATTGAAAGCAAAGATAATGAAAGCACATTTGTTCAGAACCCCGGACTACCAATTCACCAATGGACCACAGGGGAGACTCCACCCAGGTTTTGTTCTAAGGTGATGCCTTCAAACCCAGGTGGGACAAGAATTCCGATGACTCCTAAAGTTCAGTGCTCTAACCGGTCCACCGTGAGAAGCTTGGCTCAATGAAAATAAAGAATTCAATGTTTCAAAAAGTAAGAAAAGTAAATAAACTGAGAAAACCATGAAATCTATGATATGCATGATTAAAGTGGTGAGGGAACTTACAAAGGAACAATCTTGCATCCTAACTCATAAAAGTATGGGCAAAGAACCCTCAAATCCACACAGGCTGCATCAGCTTGGATCTCCTTCCAAGTTCTGCAGTATATATAAAATCGAGACATCAGAATTCAAGTTTGTTAGGGGCATACTGCAGAACCTATGCTTCACACACTAGTTATTAATAGTCAAAACTCCCACATTCAGCAATCCTCGAGAGCCGTTTGAATCTCCAGCCAGGAAGATTCATGTCTTCAATAAATTCGCTCATTAAGTTATATGAGTAAGATCTGCAGATATTACTTAGTTAGTGGAAAGCTACAATGGAGGCAAGAAAAGCCACATCATTTTATTAAGTTGTCAAAACGAAATTACACGTATGTTTCAAACTAAGAATACTCTGTGCTCTCCCATTCTTTGCTGTTGCTCTAAGAACTTCTGTGTATGCAGTAATGCCATAAGAGACACTAAAGAAACCTACCTCTGTGTGAAGCATGGAGGTGGATTTATTGACACCGCTTGTTCCAGAGTTAGCAGACCATGAGCAAGCCAAAATGGGAGGTCCACCTTGGCACCCTTTTCGACCTGGATATAGAAGAAAAGACTCAAATCCACTTTATACAAGAGAAGCATCCTATTAACACTTTTAGTAGGATCCACTATGCAAAGCATCCAATTCCCAGTTGGGGCTCATGACAAATACTGCAGACAGGCCAATAAGAATTAAGAAAGTGGAGTAATCCAAATCAGTGTGAACAAGTCAACGAGTACATAAAAAAGGCTCTCAGATAACCATTACCCAAGAACTGCATAAATCCACATTCAGGAATTATCAGGACATCAAGAAGAACTTATTGACATGTGTACACAGGTCGAGCACTAGAAGCATTGGTGCACCAAATTAATGGGCTGACACTTACACAGTTACTTTCAGCACCAGGATCTAGCAGGCCAACACCATTGGCAGTTACTTGGAAAACAACTGAAATAGGCTGCAGCCAGAGCAGAAACTTATACTCAGCACGTATACGCAAGCATCACGCAAGAAGAGAATACAAAAAATGACATCTGAAATTACCTCATCCTCCGTGAGGATGTCATCGATGTCGTAGTAATTGGCATCTGACAAAAGGACAGGATCACAATTCTGCACCTCAGGGGCGGACCCAGTAAAGGACATAGGTGTACACATGGTGACATGGACACCCAATAACTTTAGAAAAAAAAATGGAACTCCGTAGGCATATAAATACATGTATTGATGTATACACTTCTAGTACACCAGATCCGAATACAGATAGATAAGTTTGGATCGGCAACTCGACTTTGCACAGCAGTAAGGGAACTGGTGGACGCTCGTCGCCAGCGAAGGGCCTGACGAGGCACAGGGCACCTGGCGAAGGGCGGCAGCAGCAGCGGGCCGCTGCCCAGTTATCAGTGCCAGGCCTAGGATTTTAAGTTTGGGTATTTGAAATGTGAATGGGTGTCTTTTTTTTGACAACCTAAACTCCTAAAGCCTAATATTTGGCATTTATAACACAATATAGTTCTAATCATATAATATATAGCAAATATATGACACACAATTGAGCATGATTTTATAAATTCATAGAATTTGAGCAGAACTTCAAAATTATTTAACAATTAATATAAATAAGTGCCGATAGTTCAACAAACTAAAGTGGCATTGTGCGCAGCGAACCAGAGAGGTAGCGCACCTGGTCCCGACTGGCGGCTGGCGCACTCGGAGTCCTGGTCTCGCCTTCCGCAGGCCGCTGCGGGCTGCGCGCCTGTGCCGGTGCTCCCTGATTCCCTCGCCGGCAGGGGCTAGCTAGCTGCAGCCGCAACTGGAGTTTGCCGCGGCGCCGCCGACCGCCCAGTCGTCCACCGCACTGGTGCTAGGGTTGGGGTCGGCCGGTTGGGGAATGGGGGAAAGAATACCGGAGTCGGGACTCGGGAGGAGCAGCGACTCAGCGAGGAGCCGAGCGCGAGTGCGCGGGAGACGTCCATGTATCCTGGTGCGGGAAGAATATGGGAATTTTGCCATCACGAAACGTGGCTTTAGCTCTTTTGTCACATCGCAAATGAGTTTGGTCAGTTTACCATTCTCAAACTTAGCATAATCGCTAAAATGCCCTGATCTGATTTATAATCATTTTTAATTATTCTTTTACTTTATTCATACTTCCTTTCCTGTTTTGCCCCTGAACCTCGTTCCTGCTTCTCCTCCGCCGCCGACGTCAGCCGCTGGCAACCCAGCCGGGCGCTCCGACTCCGCCCGCCAGGTGCCCCGGCTCCGCCCAACGACGGCAGCGTTGTTCCACGGCTAGCCGTGCGGCCGCGGACACCAGCTGCACAGGGAGGGGTATGGGTCGTGGTGGAGCAGGGTCGGCACAAAGGGAGGGTGTAGGTCGCGGCTGACCAGGGCCGGCACAGGGGAGGGCGCACGCCTGAGGGCTTGCCGCGGGGGAGGAGCACCGCCGGAGGCGGGGGAGGAGAAGAGCACGCCGGCGCCGGAGAAGGGAACGCTGGAGAAGGAGCGCGTACGCGTCGGGGCTGCAGCCGTGGCCTGGCACGGACTGTAGGGGCGGCGGCGTTGGCAGCTTGGCGCGGACGCATCGGGGAGGCGGCGGCGTCCGCCTGGAGTTGCCCCAGCCCAGCTCTCCGTCTCGATTCTCTCTGGTTCGACCATGAATGGAAAAGGATCGATGGGATAACATTTGTGGCAAAATGGGAAGGAAAAGATGCCACGATAAAAAAATATTAAGTTTGGCAATAAATCCGTCGCAGGGCATTCTAGCGGGTATGGTTGGTTTGATAATGGTAAACGAGCGAATCCCATTTGTGGGATGACAAAAAAACGAAGCCCATGTTTCACAATGGCAGAATCGCCATTTTCTCCGGTGCGGGTGCTGTAAGCACAAAATTGGGCTGCTGGGCCTTATTGGGCCTTAGGGTGGGAGGAAAAGGGGTAGGATGTAGGAAAATGTGTTTTTGGTACTGTACTCACTTTGTCTATATTTTATTTTTTTAATATTAGGATGTGCATTATAATGGAAATAAAATAATATACTACAATAACTTAACTTTGAACGTATATATATTATATTATTGTAGAAACGATTCTCAAGCTTGATGTTCGCAGCGTTTCATTTGTGATAAATAATTGCCACTCTTCATAAAGCATGAGCAATTATTAGGACCAGGATGTTGTGTAGGCCAATTATCACTCTTCACCAAGTAATCTATAATAGCATGGGTGGGCGCGCTGCCGCCGCGCTGGCAGACACTCTGTTCACTTGTTGGTTTCAGCCAGTCCAAACCAGTCAGTCAACAGTATTTTCCTCTCACAACAAACCAGCACCAGCCAACCTAAATCAGCCCAGAAACCAACCAACGAACAGGCCGAGAGACGGAGAGCTGGAAAAAATGCTACCGAAAAATCGCTTGAACAGTGTCCAGTACAGCAGGTGAACAGGGATTAACAGCTGATGAAAAGTGTTTGGGAAAAAGACATCAACACTGTTTGAACAGTGTCCAGCGATTTTTTCCTGGACGTGGGATCTTATTATCGAGCTGTTTGGGTGTGCCAATGGAAACGCAAACGCAAATGAAATTGACCTGCGAACGTTACCGGAGGGAATGAATTTGAACTAGCTATCGAATGAAGGCCCCGTTCGGCTTACCTTAAAATTGGCTTGTTCGACTTCTTTTTTTAACCGAAATAGTATTTTTCTCTCACAACATTTCAGTCAGAACAGTGTTTTTCAGCCAATTTCAGCTAAATTTCAGCCAGAAGTTGTTTACGTTTGCGTTACTGTAAGAGAAACCAAACAGCTCCTATATACTGGCAAAATTGCCCATGCATTGCAACGGGAGTATTTTTAAAAGTATTATAGTATTTATGGGCCCACACTAAAAAAATAACATTAGAAAATACATTATTAAAATGCAATATAATACAAAACATCAAATTATTATGTCGTATGCTACAGAAAAATAAATTGCCATCCAATGAATTAAATAGTATCAGTACCGATCTGAGCAGGCTTACTCCGGCGTTAGTTTAGTCAGCTTGGTCCCATCTTGTCCAGTATTGCTATTAGTGTGCTAGTGAGCCCTTTATATCAAAAAGCTAGCAGCCTGTTCGCTTGCTCGTAAATGATCGTAAATTTCCAGCTGGAAACAGTGTTTTTCTCTCACACCAAACCAGCCAACAGTAAATAATTCACGATACGATACGGCCTCCCGAACAGGCTGTAGGTCACACATGCAAACCAATAAGCAGGACCTACATCCATCATCTAGCATAGCTGAACAGCCCAAAGTGCCTTTTTAAATTAATCGATAGACGTAAAAAATTCTAATCATAGGGCCTGTGTCTGCAGTATCAAGTCATTGATTACTCATCGCCGACGACCTGAGTCCTCCCATATCAGTACAACGCAGTTTCCCCCGAATCCGTAACCTATTTTTTCATCTGTCAGCCATCGCTATCCACTCGCTCGTCTCACTCAATAGCTCATCATCCCATCAATTCTGTCCGCTCGTTTTGTGTCTTTCAGTCCCATTTGATACAACTCCGCTTCACTGGTAGAATAATTTTATTTTTTCACTTTAACGGGTAGAGCAGCTCTACTCGTGGAGCTGGAGCCATTTTATAAAAATGTTTAGCGCCGCCCTCTCCTTGTGGCTCGCTGCAGTTCGGCGGCCGGTGACACCGCAACTCCTCCATCACAGCCCTGCCTCCCTCTTCTTCCGGCCAGCCGCTGACCGCTGCCCCTCCCCTCCCGCCGCACCGCAACCTTCAGCGGCCCAGATGCCAGTCCGACCATCACTCCTATGCGTGAGGGAGGACTGCAGTGCCTCATCTTCAACCTTCTGCGTGCGAGGGAGGAGTTCGGCAACACGCGTGGGCCTAGGGGCATCATCGTCCAGTTGAACGGAGGAGCTGTTCTCTTTTTCTGGTTTGAATTTGAATCCCCTCGTCAAGGCATATTGGTCCACTGAGTTTAGTTGGAACCGATTTGATTTTGGCGTTGATATCCATATCGATTTAGAGTTAGAATTTGATTTGATCTCAGCATTGATATCCATATCGATTTAGAGTTGGAGGGGAGGGTGACAGGCGTCTTTTTTTTTGGTATTTTTACACGGTTTCGGAAGCAGTTTTTTTTTCCCGATTTCCATCATCTCCTAGGTAGTTAGAAAGGCCAGACCAAACAAATGGAACCAAAAACACGGTTGAAATTTTGCTTGTTTAGTATTAGGTATAGATTTGAGATTGACTCCGGTATGAATTGAATGTCTGTCCGCTATCAAATCTGTGGGCAGAACAATCACTTCAGTAATCGCAGGCCCTTGCAATAGTGAACATGAGAGAGCCACAAATTTATAGCATGTAAGTGGACCTGACAAGCTGTCTTCTTGGTTGGTGTCAGTCAGCACACCTTATGAAACAGAGGAAATTCCTTGTGAGCCATTAAAAAAATTTTGGCGGACTTCAGCGCCATCGTTTTAATTTTTTTGTTTTACCTTCCATGCCATTGCCGTTAGATTAGGCTCTAACAGTGTCAAACTATAGGTATGAAAAGTCGAAAATACTATCAGGTCTAAATATGCTATTAATTTTTTTTTGAGAATCTTAACAACTTCAAATAAAAAAAACTCAAAACCAGAAAGTTGTAGATCTCGTTGAGATCTACAATTTTCATATAAAAGTTATCTTCATTTAATTCCGCAAAAAAGATATGATTAATATATCTTAGAAAAATTATATATTTTTTATGGTATTAAATGAAGATAATTTTTATATAAAAATTGTAGATCTCGGCGAGATCTACAACTTTCTAGTTTTGAGTTTTTCCATTTAAAGACGTTAAGATACTAAAAAATTAATAACATATATAGACCTAAGGGTATTTTTGACTTTTCCCACCTGCAGTTTGACACCGTTAGAACCCAATCTGACGGCAGTGGCATGTAGGGAAAAAAATAGAGCAGTGGCGCTGAAATCCGCCAAAATTTTTCAGTGGCTCACAAGGAATTACGATCTTTTTTAATGGCTCACAGGGAATTCCCTCGTCTTTATATTGTTTCTAATTTATCGGAATACGATTTTGGTGAAAAAATACCTTGCAACAGCCTCTATAATTAGATCTTCAAATATAGACATTCTCTATTCCGGATATCTTGCTTGTAAAAAACAGAGAGAGCATATCTTGCTTATCAAAAACAGAGAGAGCGAGGATAGTTCTTTAGAGTACGCACAAGATACAGCTGTGATACAAAGATATAGAAAGCGATACGTCTCAAATAACTCTCCAAATGATGATTTGTATGGGGAGTGTTCATCCTCTTGACTAACTGCGCTAACTCCGATCAACACGAGGCCTCAGGAGAGTGCCATCCGCATCTCCTCTTCAGGATCTTTTTAACGGTCGAGTGACACAGAGCCCTCCAAATGGTAAACCAATATATAACACGAATGTCATGCCAAAACACTTGAAGATTTCAATTTAGTTAAACGCAGTTACATGATATCGAATGACAACGAAGTGGTATTATACAATATTTTTTAATTAACTCACTATGGCTACTCCATTTATTCTCACTCGAACACATATCAGAGTTAACATGCAACTCATCTTGGAATCCTCCATTCCAAGGTCTACTAGTCGATGGTGGATTGAGCTCAACTCAACTCACACCAGATCGAACCTATCTGCAAAATAACTTAACGGCGACACCATGAGTATATTGCATACTCGTAGGACTTAATTCCAACATATGAATATTTGGTGGATGCAAGGGAAATTATTAGGCATTTGTACATTTGCAGAAAAACATGGCGTTTGTTAAAGAATGACATGCTCATGAATCATATTTAATTTAACTAGGAATTATAAGATCATGATAAGTAGCAATGAGTAACATAATTAAATGATCAACATTATAGTTCAACTCATCATTAATTTTGACATCATCTCTACAATGGGTCTAGAAGTAAGAACAACCGGTTTCATCTCGAAGGACTTTAGGCTTTCA